TTTGGGGTTGCCAAAAGATTACAGTGTGTAGAATGTTAGAGATGGAATCAAAGTGCCGGGCGCTTAGAACCCACAGGTGTGTAGAGCAGGGATGGGTCTTGAACATATAGGAACAGTACTCACTAGCAAAACCTCAACGCACTGTACTGAATCATCTAGAGCAAGTTTCACACGCTTAGCTCACTTTTAAATGAAGTAAGTGAATAAAGTTTGAAAGAAGGGAATTTTTTTAACATTTTCAGAAGTTCTTGATGGTCTGTAACAGTAAATCTGTTTTTGAAAATGAATTTAATGGGTTACCTATTAAATTCAAGCATTTTTAAAGCAGTAGAAATTGATGAAGCATTTACACCAATCTGATAATCTGATAATTTATTTGATATTCTACTGGCAATTTAAAGACTCAAAGCACTGAACACAGATTTTTACTGCTGCCTGAGGGGGAAAAGGAAAAATGTGGTAAGCTTTTCACAAAGCTTAATTAATTGTATTTAACTGATCAATTATTTATTTTTGAGGTGGCTCATTCTGTTTTGAACAAAGATAACTGTTAGCCCTCAGGTTCCTACCATCCTCAGGCTTCCCCGCCACCTCTGGGAGAACTCCTCCGTTTTGTTGAACAGAGATGTGGTGGGCAGAATAATGGGCCCCACAAAGATGTTCATGTCCTTATCCCCAAAGCCTGTGAATTTACCTTTGACTTTACATGTGTGATTAAATCAAGGCTCTTAAGATGAGAACAGTTTCCTGAATTATCAGAGTGGTGTCAGTGTGATTACAAGGATCTATTAGAGCAAGAGGGAACTCTGGTAGCATAGTGCTTAAGGCACTTGACTGCTAACCAGAAGGCTGGCAGTTCAAACCCACCAGCCACTCCTCAGAAGGAAGATGGGGCAATCTACGTCCATAGTGATACTGCCTCGGAAACCCAAGGAAGGGTCATTATGAGTCGGGTCCGACTCCACGGCACATGACAGCAACAATTAAAGCGAGACAGGAAGGTCAGACTGAGAGAAGCAGAGGTAGGAGTCATGCAGAGCCACAACCCAAGGAGTGTAGGCAGCCCCTAGAAACTGGAAAAGCCAAAGAATTTTCTCCTCCAAACCAAACTTACTGCCATCAAGTCGATTCCAACTCATAACAATTCCCATTGGGTTTCCAAGGCTGTGAATCTTTACTGAAGCAGACTGACTCATCTTTTTTCTGCACAGCACCTGGTGGGTTCAAATTATAGACCTTTTTGTTAGCAGCCAAATGCCTTAATGACTACTTGGATTTTCTCCTAGAGCCTCCAAAAAGAAAGCAACTATGCTGATCCATTTCGGCTTTCTGACCTCCCAAACTGTAAGATAAGAAATTTGTATTATTTAAGCCACTAAGCTTGTAGCAACTTCTTTTTTTATTTTATTTTTTTCTTTTTGCCAACTCAAAAATTATTTATTGAGGTCTTACAATGTATGTCTTTTTTTTTTTTTTTTTAATTGTGATTT